GTGTGTGTGTGTGTCCTGTGATGGACTGGTGTCCTGCCCAGGGTGTATCCTGCCTTGTGCCCGTTGCATGCTGGGATAGGCTCCAGCTCCCAACCGCGACCCTCAATTAGAAAACGGATGGATGGTGGGGTGGTATGAAACAGTGCCGGCTGGTTTCCTCCCAGCTGTGAGAAGGCCCCTCCCTCCTGGAGAGGGCTGCCAGTGCTTACCGACACTCCCGGTCCCAGCACAGGGCAGGACGGGTCACCATCGTCTCCTCCTTCCCCGTTGTACTCCAGCAAGACGTCGGTCCTCCAGGTGACGTTATTCCCCTGGCCGCTCTGGAAGAACACCGTGCCCACCCCCGGGGTTCAGTGAGAGGGCGGGTACAGGCCGCGACGGACCGGCACGTACACCCGCCCGGGGCCCCTCTCCAACTCCTTTGATTTCTGCCGTCAGCTGGCCGCCTGGGGCTCTGGGTCCGAGGATAGAGCCCGTCTCCGGCGTTACTGGGAGAGATTCCGTGTGCTTCCCGGCTTCCCCCCCAGAGATTCCCAAACCAGGTTGTCACGTCGACTTCAGGCTTGCAAACTACATCTACCACAGCTCTGTATGGTATGGCAACTTCAGTAATGCTGAGCGCAGAGCCCTAAACCGGCCAGTCCATCACTGGGGTTGCCCTCCCATCCATACAGGACACTGGTGCTTGAGGAAAGTTCTTAGCATCATCAAAGACCCCACACACCCCACCTACAGTCTGTATGACTCTCTACCATCTGGAAAACGGTACCGGAGCATTCGGACCCGGACTACCAGACTCAGAGACAGTTTTTACCCCTGCACTATCAAACTATTCAACTCCCAGCCTCTCTCGCCTACGATCTGAACCTCACAGTGCCTTCTCTCTTACCCAAACCTCAAACACACACTGAAATCTACCTCTACCTCACATGTCAAAAAGGTCACTCCCCATAATTTTCTATCCATTATTTCATTCTGTTGATGTATGTTTTTGTACATCTGATGTCGTTTTGCACACTGCCTGTTGTCTCTGTCTCTCTTTTATTATACAATTGTATTGTTGTTGTTTTTTTGTACGACTTATCGCCTGAGAGCTCGCTAAATAGCATTTCGTTAGTCCATATACCTGTATATGAGTATAAATAACAATAAACTTGAACTTGAACTTGAACTCTGCTTCTTCAGGTTCTGTTTTCAATGAACAAACACGCACGTATCCGAGCGCACGAGTAGAGACCTAATAGGCAGGAACCTGTTCTTTTAGGCTCTTTCGCACACGAACCTGGGCTGCAAAATGCCAAATCGATTCAGACAAGCACGTTTGCGTGGGTTTAGCAAGTGGAAGGAAGACGATCTAGTGTATATGATGAGATGAGAAGAGTGATCTCAGATTTGGACAACCTACATGTGGTCCTTACATCCACGTGACAACAGGTTTTACTGCCACAAAAAAACAACAACATATTTCTTCAGGAAATGAATGCATCCCGACTTACAGCGTCACTTGGATCTAAATCAAAGGGGCTGGAGGGATTTACCATGAGGGGCAGAAAAGACATCCCATCCATCTGCGTCGGGTTCACGCTGTGTCCCGCGATGTCCATGATCGTTGGCCCAAGATCTATATTGGCGACGAGCATCTAACCGGAAAAACAAAAATGAAAAGGCGAGAGTCTCAGATGGAGTTACAAAGCAGGGAGGGTTGCGGGTTCAAATCCCAGGTGAGATCACTGTGAGCGTTCCGCTGTCCTCTCGCTCGGGGCTCTTTACACCCAGCAGGCTCCAGGACGCCCCCTCGCTTACAGGGGGACCACGTTTCAGAAACGTGTTCTTTCACCCGAGATTTTCCATCCCGAAACTACATCTCACGGTGACTTTCCACCCGAGCGCCCCCCTCTTTACCACGCGCCCCGATTTCGACGAGGAAGACCCGGGAGTCCCATGAGAAAGTCAGAAGCAGTGTGAGAGGAAAGGAAGAAGCTTGAAGAGGACAGATGGAGACAACACCCTCACCTGGCAAGTCTGGTTGGGTTTGATGCCAGGCCCTCTCACCAGCAGGGGGACTTTGATGTCAAACTCATAGAGCTGTCGCTTGTCTACAGGTAGGGAGAACTGGCCTGGGACAGGGGAGAGACAGGGCCGCGTTAGGCTGATTCACACAGACAGGACTGGCCTGGGACAGGGCAGAGACAGGCCTGTGTTAGGCTGATTCAAACACACACAGAACTGGCCTGGGACAGGGGAGAGACAAGGTTTCCAGTACCTAACTGATCCAAAAATCTCATTCATCTCTTTACTGCAAGACACCCTCGGCTTCAACAATATGGCTAGTAGCTTGCTCCATTCTCCCACAACCCTTTGTGTAAAGACGTGTCTCCTGTTTTCAGATTTAAAACTCCTGATTGCTTGGGCATTTAAGATCCCACGACACTGTAAAGACATTGTCCTGGCTGCATCCTTCTCCAGACTTTGACAATCTGACCTCTCAAACGTTTTCTTAATAAAGTGCTTTGGGGATGCTTCAAGATGCAAAGCATGTTAGTAATGTAGGGACCCGATACAAGTTTTTAAAATCTTCAAAGGCAGTGACAAAGAGAACTCGGCAGATTACTCCGGGATCAACACTGAAACACGAACCAGAGGGCACAGGTGGAAACTACATGGAAGGGCATTTGAAACTGAAAACAGGAGGCGTTCCTTTACGCAAAGGGTTGTGGGTGTATGGAACAAGCTACCCAGCCACCTTGCAGAGGATGATACTCCAGCTTCTTTCAGAAACATCTGTTTCATCTCAACCGTCCGCTGAGTAACCTTTGTAACCTTTCTTAAATGCATAATCCTCATTATTATTATTTTCGCACCTGTGTGATAGCCGTTGTCAGAGGTGAAGAATATGTATGTGTTCTGCAGCTCTCCACTTGTGTCCAGATGCTGCACCAGCTTTTCAACAAGGTCATCTACAGACAGCAGAGTCTGCCACCTGGGACAGAAACAGACTCAAGTCCACAGCTTCAGAGTTACAGTTTCTATTTGGCAACCAAAACCGAATGCTTTATCTTTGCTTGTATTCCAGCAGCCATATCACCCTGCAACTCACAACTGGTAACCAACTGAAGCTCAGCAGGTGTGAGCCTGGTCAGTACCTGGATTGGAGAATCCTGGGAAAAACTAAGGCTGCTGCTGGAAGAGGTGTTAGTGGGGCCAGCAGGGGGCGCTCACCCTGCGGTCTGTGTGGGTCCTCATGCCCCAGTATAGTGACGGTGACACTAGACTGTGAACAGTTGCCATCCTTCGGATGAGACGTAAAACCGAGGTCCTGACTCTCTGTGGTCATTAAAAATCCCAGGGCGTTTCTCGAAAAGAGTAGGGGTGTAACCAAATTTCCCATTGGCCCTGACCAATCATGGCCTCCTAATAATCCCCATCTATGAATTGGCTTCATTATTCTGCTCTCCTCCCCACAGAGCTGGTGTGTGGTGAGCGTTCTGGCGCACTATGGCTGCCGTCGCATCATCTAGGTGGATGCTGCACATGGTGGTGGTGGAGGGGATCCCCATTACCTGTAAAGTGCTTTGAGTGGAGTGTCCAGAAAAGCGCTATGTAAGTGTAAGCAATTATTATTATTATTATTATTATTATTATTATTATATCTGTAAACTGGAAAGTGCAACACTGTGCAATACTACAGTATGCTTCTAAGTGATTTGCAAATTGGATGACAGAAAGCCCATATGAAATCTCTCAGCCTTGAGGCACTGATTCAAATATTCAGAATCTTCCATTGCACAGAGATCTTCTTCAGGATGAACAGTGAAACATGAGTGAAACATGAACCAGAAGGCACTAGCAGAAAGTAAGGGCAGCGCATTCAATACCGACACACAGGGCCAGCGTCTTTACGCAAAGGGCGGTGGGAGTGTGGAACAAGCACGGAAGTGTACTTAAAACTGAAAACAGGAGGAGGCCGCAGAGAGGCTCCATCGCTCCCTGAGAGATCAGCTCTACATCATAGGCATTTCTAGGGGGTATTTTAACAGTTCAAAACGCAGCCATGAACAGCCTGCTGTCTTCCCATTTATGCGGTGTTGGGAAACAGGAGAAGCTTGGCACAAAACAGGTTTGACCCTCAACACAGAACGCTGGCCAGCCTAGCCTAAATAAAGACCCGGAGTTCCAGCAGGGGGATGTGTCTTTAAAGCACGAGGGAAAGCAGTCTAACTGCAGTCTGACACCGTGCAGGCCTTTGGATTAAGAAAGGGGTTTCCCCACGGTCGTCAACGGCAAAACTCACCTTCTCCTGTAGACGTCGTCCAGGAACTGGACGGAGGAATTGGACATCGGGGTCCTGGCTTGTCGGATCAGCCAGTGTTTCCCCTAGAGAGAAAGTAAGGAGATCTTACTCACTCTAGGGCGAGCTAGGGAGGACCGTAGTGAGGCCTCTTAGAAGCTTAAAAACGATTTTGATTTGCGATTCATTTTTGATGTATATCATACAGGGAGGGGGTGGCAGGGTGGTGCAGTGGTGAGCAGCGCTGGAGCACTGGGTTAGATTCCGGACCTGGGATGCTGTCTGTGTGGAGTCCTCGGGTTCTCCAGCTGCTCTGTTATCCTCCCACAGTTCAAACACACGCTAGTGGGTTAACTGGCTTCTGGGAAAAAAATTGGACAGCTGGCTGCAGTGCACTATTGTTAGATCTGCAATGAATCACAGCTCCTGCAGCAACAGTTCAGGTAGGTGTGTCCTAAGTTATGAAGAAGGTGGTTTTGTATGAGAATAAATACAAGCTTGGACTTTCTTAATGAATTTGCATGTGCTTAAAATCTTGTTTTATCTTATATTAAATGATCAAGAGGGGTGCGGCACAGTGGTAAAATCGTTAGCAATGCTGCTGTGGCCCTGGGCGCAATTCTGGACCTGGGTTGCCATCTGTGTGGAGTCTGCATGTTCTCCCTGTTAAAACTACATCCAAAAAACGACATTACGGGTGAAATTGTTAAACAGCTAGTCCGATAAATATCTGCTTAACACAATTAAGCACGTGTTAGTGAGCATTTCCTCCCACAGTTCGAGCTGGCAGGCTAATTGGCTTCTGGGAAAACTGGCCCTGGTGTGAGGGCGTGTGTGTGCCCTGCAATGGACTGGCGTCCTGTCCAGGGTGTACCCTGCCTTGTGCCCACTGCTTGCTGGGATAGCCTCCAGCTATCCTGTACCCTGTACTGGAAGAAGCAGATCGAATATGGATGGATGGGCTACCTGACGGGAGTTTTGTGGCCGTACCTTCCCGTGAACGTCGAAATTAGCCTCGCGGGGGGCTCTGACGTCTGCAAAGCTTTTCTCATACTGCGGGGCGGCTGTCCAGGGAGAGTGGGGTGCGGGCGTGGAGATCATCAGGAAGAAAGGCCTGGAGGAGGACTTGTACTCTAGGAAGTTCAGCGACGCGTTTGCCTGCCGGTAAGCACAACGAGACGCTGTTTCCGAGACGGCAGAAACGGACAGTTTCAACGCGCGCCCGTCTGAACACCAGTATTCGAAGAACCCCCAGGAGCACTGGACAAGTCCGGCTTTCTTTAGAATGAACAGCGAAACACGAACCAGAGGACCCAAGTGGAAATTACCTGGGAGGGCCGTGTTTTAAACTGAGGATAGGAGGCAGTTCTTTGCACAAAGGGTGGTGGGAGAGTGGAACTCCCAGCCATGTGGTTGAAGCCAATACAGTATGCTGGATAACCTCCTTAGATCAGTTAACAGCTAAATACCAAACAGGCCAAATAACAGCTATAGCTTTTCGTACAATCTTCTGTTCTCATGACAGTTAAAACTACATCCAAAAAACAACTCCAAAAAAAAACATTACAGGTGAAATTCTTACACAGCTAGACCGATAAATATATGCTTAACACAATTAAGGGCAATTAGACATAATACCTCAGACTGACAGTTAAAACTACATCATATAAAAAGAAAAATACAGGTTACCAGGTGACATTTGTATATAATGCAATATTTGAGTATATTAGCAATTAGGGCCCTACTTACGCACTGGATACCTGTAAAAATGGATGCACTCACTTTCATATTATCTCAATGAGTTTAAATGACATTGAGAAAATAACTGCAATTCATTTCGGAGCCTCGTTTCAGTCTAACCACTCCAGTAATACAAATCTACAGATAATGTATAATTAGGAATATAAAATTAGCCCTCATAATTATGAACATTTTATGACATATTTAAAGATAAAGATTAAAATGAGAAAAATAGATACACTCACTATTGATGAATATCAAATTATATCTTGACCACTTCACCTTAGCTAAAAAGGCTGCCTTCTAATGCTGCAAAACCATAGAACCTGATAGTGAAGTATAGTGCACTATAAACATATTACTTAATGTGCAGAGAGAGACCAAGAATCCAGTCATCCTCATTTGAAAGAGTAACATGCCTGAGCTCATACCTATCTTAAGGTTCACTTTATTACAGAATCAGTGGTTATTCTTTAATCCAGATAGGGGTTGCAACTTCCATTTTGAAGCAATTAATGAATTATATACTGTATAGAGCTAAAAAGTCAGGGAGACATTAAAATGATAACAAACCTCTATAGCCGATTAAAAGCATGTTAACAAATCCCTAAAGATGACGATAGCCACAGACCAAACCTTAACCTTAGCGTTATTTATATCAGACTCCTCCCTCCTTCAACTTTATGGGCAGATTAAGAACTGGGCTATTTTCCTAACATAAGAGATAATGAATTTGCCTTTTCTGTGGAACCAGGCAGCTGAAAATACCGTTGTAGCCAGGAGCAGCACCTACAGATGTATGAAAGTATGAGCCTTATTAAAAACAAATCATGCTGTGGCGTGGATATTTACTTACACACAGCATGACAAGAGGGGGAAAACTACTGTTTATTTTAGCTGGCAAAGCAGCAGTGTGTTGCATAGACAAACGCTCACACAATTTGATACAGCCTCATGTTCCTACTCTCCTTGTCCCCTGTCTTACCAACACGTCTGTTAGGTAGTCCTTGCTGTAGTTCTCTCCATGTTTCCTTGCTTTGCCATTCACTGACAGCGTGTAATTGTAGTACTTGGAGTTCTTCTCCTGCAGGGAAACACATTCATATGAGCTTGTGAGGTTGTTTCTTCCATATCTATCCACTTTCTAACAGGCGCAAGGCAGGGTACACCCCGGATGGGACGCTAGTCCACTGCGGAACACACACAGGCGCGCACCGAGACTTCAGGGCCAGTTTTCCCAGAATTCAGCTAACCTACCAATGTTGACCACCGCCGCCCAACCATGCTGCCCTTGTTTTTTTCCAGTTAGTACCACATACTGGCCCCCTGGGGTCCTGGAGGGCAGTGTTTCTACGGGAGCCCCAGTCTAGCAGTTCACTATTAAATCACCAAGGTGATTTATAACATTAAGTCATTTAGAGATCATCTAGAAGTAAAATCGAAGTGCTCTTCAGCCCTCGGGGATCAGAAGTCTTAAACAATTCAGGTTTTGATTTAGCTATTTATCAAGCTTGGTGCAGCCAATCTTTAAAAACAGGAGACTTACAAGAGCAACTGCATCAGGGTTCTCCAGAACCAGGGACAGAGACCCCTGTACTGACTGGACCGGCACTCTTCAGAACCAGGGACAGAGACCCCTGTACTGACTGGAC